GTGATCCACCCGCCTCGGCCTCCCAAAGTGCTGGGATTACAGGCTTGAGCCACCGCGCCCGGCCGAGAACACCTTTCTTGTTCAGACTCTGTGTGTTCCTTTTAATCTGTGTAAGGGAATGTGATCAAGCAGCACATGACTAACCCAGCTGCCACTTCTGTTCCCCATGATGTGGCGACAGAGTTCTTTTCCTATGGCACAGGAGCGTGTCATGTCAACCAATGCCACGTCAGCTGCTAGGAGGGGCCCACCGCATAGGGACCAATGCACACTGTGGGAGCTGACCTTGCTGTCTTCTCTGAGTGGAGCCCCAACCCATGCAGGGTGCGTCTTCGTTGCTTTTCCTTGCCACTCTGATACCAAGATGCAGTGGCAAGAAGTGCCTCCATTTCCATTCCTGTCAAGGTGAGTTGCCACTTGACCTCCACTGATTCTCTCTGTGCTGAGCTATATTCTATAGAGCTCACTGATTCTATATTGTGTTAAGCTGTCACTTAAAATTGCACAAATTGTTTCGATCAATCCTAACATATTCACCCATGTAATTAACATCCTATCAACACAGGGAATATTTTTACAATCTCACAAAGCTCCCTGTGCCCCATGGAAGTAGCCTCTATTCTGGCCTACATCTTAATTGATTTTGTCTGCTTTTGACTTTTATTTCACTGGAATCACATGTGCCTTTTGAATCAAGACTGGCTCTGTGGATTTATTCACACTGCTGTGTATAGCTGGTTGCTCCCGCAGCATGACAGCATCCGACTGCGTGAACACCAAGGCTGACGTACTCACTGTGGTTGTTCTGCAGGGGCGTCCCCAGGCTAGAGACTGGGCATGTAGTAAAGAACTCCATGAGCAAGCATCACCCTGAACCCACACTGCATCACCTTATAGGGCAGCACACGAAAATCTAGGAAACACCTAGTTTCTCCAACAATGAATATGTCAGTGATTTCCCAGCTCAAGAATAATGCTGAATCACTTCTCTGCTAAGTTAGTAGAACGGAAACCACAGAAGGCAGAACCATCCATATTCGTCTCCCACCAGGTCCGACTCGTCTGACTTTAGACAGTGTCCAACAGCTCCACAGTAGCATACACGGTGCTTAGCAGTTACTTTATATCCTGTCAACACTTGGTGATGTTGGTCCTTTAAATTTGGATTCCAATTTGCATTTACCCAGAGATTAATGAGGTTAAGCTCCTTTTCGTGTTTAACACCCAAATTTTAATGTATTTTATTCTTCAAACCAGTTCAGGTTCACAGCAAAATTGAGTGGTACAGAGTTTCCATAGACCCACTGCCCCTCCTCACACCCAGGTTTCCCCACTATCAACATCCCCATCAGAGTGGTCCATTTCTTACGGCCAATAGACGTGCATCGACACATCATTATCACCTGGCGTCCAGTTTGCATGCGGCTTGCTCTTGGTGTTGGACATTCTACAGGTCTGACGAATGAATAATGATATCCACCAGTGGAGTATCATGCAGAAGAGTTCCACTGCTAAAAATCCTGTGCCCTACCCAATCATTTCTCCCTCCCTTCTGGCCCCTGGCGTTTTACTGTTTCCAGTTTTCCCTTTACTGCAATGTTGGAGGACTGGACTCCTTCAGGATGGGTAGCCTTTTCACGCTTCATTCAGCAACATGCATCTAACTTTCCTCCCTGTCTTTTCGTGGCTTGAGAGCTTACTTCTTTTTAGTGCCAAATAACATTCTACTTTCTGGATACATCAGTTATACATTCACCTATATGCATATAAAGCAGAGAATGCTGTGTTGGAGATTTACATTTGGTAGTCTTAAGCATGTACATGATAAGTATAAAGCATGTGTCAAAATTATAAAGTAGAAAGTGGTCTGGATATCTGAATGCACACAAATACATACTTCAGTTCATGCTATAAAATGTTGTAAAATGTGTAAGTACATACTTAGGGCTGAAAAAGCACCCAGAGAGGAAGGGTGAAGGAGAGGTGTATCTGAAATAATAAAAAGAATATCCCATTGGTCAAGCGGGGATCTAGAGTTCCTCATCCCATGAGGAATTCCCAACTCTAGTGAGAGCCCAACAGACAGACCCAAATGGGATGATCAAAGTGCTGCACAAGCACCCGCCAGGGAGCAGGCGCAGGGCGGCTTCCACACCACAGAGACCCACTAGAGGAACAACCTCGACTTGACCCACACGTCAGGGCCAAAGAAGAAGAAAATGTGTCTTCCTTCCAACTATACCATTTTCTGTTTTGGTCTTGTTCGCTTCATAATAGAGGCAGGGAAACAGAATTACCAATTTTATAGAAAGTCATCTCTCTTTGTCCTTAAAGGAGTTGGCAATGGTTTGACCAGAATCAAACAAGTATACATGTTGAAGACTAAGAATTTAAAACACTGAGAAAAAAAGAATTCTAGGTATCATTTAGCTTTCAAGCTCAAAACCAACGCATTTTGCCCTTGGGGTCAGAAGCAGCTATGTCTAAGAGAGGGATACTCCTCTTTATAAAAGATGAAAGAGTTCTAAGGAGTTTGTCAGGTCAAAAAACATTCCTACTTCGATCTTCTGGATGGCATCCTAGTAATGTAGAAACAGTAATATCTAACTCTACTTACAAGGTGTCAGTAAGAGTCTAAGGCTGATGTCCAATTCAGTAGCCACTGGCAACTCATAGTTATTATGTAACTAATTATATGTGGCTTTTGGTCTAAAACTTCCTAGAAAATAAAACTAAAAAAATTAGAAACAATATTATAAATGCAACAGAAACTATATAGGCAATACCCTATCAGTGTATTAAAATTTTAACAAACTAGACACAGTATTAAAATGCAATTTTTTTACTTTTCAATAAAATAGGTGCTACAGTCTTGTCTGAAATTATAAATTGTCCAAAGTTAACCATAAATGAATCATTCTATTAAATTTAACAAACATTTAATTTTGTAAGAAATAAATTTTCATTTGTTATTATATAGCATTTAAGAATAATAAAGCTGTCTTGAGATTTCAAATTTGGTATCTATGGCAAGTTTATAAAAGTACATTGATCAAGGTACAATTTTTAACATTATTATACACATTCCATAATCTAAATCTATTTAACATGAACACTGACTTTTGTCATTGTTTCTCTCTACAATATCGCCTGACTCTGTAGGACCATGGTTCTCAGCTGGGTGTTCACTCTGGCCCCCAGGAGCATCTGGCAACATCTGGAGTAATTCTGGGTGTCATGAGAGAGGGATGCCAACAGCATCTGCTGTGCTGTCCAGGTATGCTACTCACCGCCCTATAATGCACAGGATGGACCCCTACCACAAAGATTTTATCCAGCCCAAATGCCAACAGGTCAAGATTAAACAACTTTTGTTGAGTGGGACTCAATTCCCATTTTATGAACACCTCTGTGCCCACTGTAATTCTGAGAACACAGACTTTGCTAACTGGCAAATACTATTTAAAAGAAGATTTAACCTAATCAATGTCACTTATCAAAAGCCATGGCTGACTTTAAGTATCAACATATTTCCAGAATGAATAAACCACACAATCAACTCAGAATGATAAAAATTAGGGTCCACATCATTTAATTTCCCTTGAACCTGCCCTGCTAGTTTGATCTGTTAATATGAAAGATAATTAGGACTGTTTTGAAGGAGCTAAGCAATAGTTTCTTTTGCACATTTTTCTGAACTATGATAAAAATTTAGCGACACAAAGTATCTGGCAAATAGCAAGTGCTCTGCAAGTGCTCCAGAAATGTTTATCACAGCTTACTAAAAACACAGGGCTTCACTCATTTGTTCAAATTTGCCATACGCATGTGTCTACACAGATTAAATTTTTATTTGATCTCTCTCATTTTACAATAATCTCTCACAAATGTCATTTAGAAACAGAACACATATCCAGGGTGTGTGATACAAATTGTTAGTTTTTTCTACACAAGTTATAAAGTGTCAGTGTATATATTACACTGATGATAGTGAACTAAATTTAAACTGAAAAAGTCATTCTAAGTTTGTTAAATAGAGAAGTTTTTCAGTAACCATTCACCTACATATTCACATTCTGTGTATTTTTTCATGGTCAACAAACTGATTCAAATGATTTAAGTTATCCCACCATTTAAAGAGAAAAGTCTCTGCAATAATTTGAAACCATGGCGTTATCTTAATTTCACCATTGGCCGCTTTTTTCAGAAGTTCTTTTAGTTCTTCCTTTGACACATAACAATAACTTTTAATCTCATTGGGATCAGGATTCAAAGTTACATTCTTTCTCACAAACAAAATGTAATCAATTTCATGTTCACCCCAGATACCATCTGACTGAGCTTTGTAGTAAATTCGTGTTAAATAATTAATTTCTTCTGGAGGAACCTAAGACATTAAAAAATAAAAATAAAAACATCAGCCACAATAACAAAAAAAATCTAAAATTAGCTCACCATATTACAGCGGTATCTTGAACAGGAGTATAACTTTAGAATTACAACATTTTTTTTTTTTTGGAGACGGAGTTTCGCTCTTGTTACCCAGGCTGGAGTGCAATGGCGCGATCTCGGCTCACCGCAACCTCCGCCTCCTGGGTTCAGGCAATTCTCCTGCCTCAGCCTCCTGAGTAGCTGGGATTACAGGCACGCGCCACCATGCCCAGCTAATTTTTTGTATTTTTAGTAGAGACGGGGTTTCACCATGTTGACCAGGATGGTCTCAATCGCTTGACCTCGTGATCCACCCGCCTCGGCCTCCCAAAGTGCTGGGATTACAGGCTTGAACCACCGCGCCCGGCCATAGAATTACAACTTTTAAAGTGTTACTCTCCTATCAACAACATATGGTAATCTTAATATTATATGTGGAAAAAGATTTCATTATTAGTTTCAAGTGTCTGTGTTTTTCCCTGTAGGACCAAACAGGTAAGTTGTTTTTTATTTTTTTAAATATTAAAAAAAGGGGCAGTCACTCAAACTAAAAATGTGACTTTCTTCTTTTTCATATTTTAAGACTGCTGTTTGGAGATTATATATAAGAAGTACTTTCTGTATCCAAGTCTTATTTAAAAGGGACAATTCCAAAAAAAAAAAATTATTTCAATTAAACCAGTTAGATTTATCGTTCCTAAGCATTTCCTAAGCATTCCTAAGCATTTCCAAATGAAAATATTCAGCTTTTTTTGATGGGGAGAGAAGTACTCAGGTGAAAACTGGAAAACCCACTAGTCAAATTCTACCAGAGCTGTCACACTCACTTGAAAATATTCATCTTTGATTTGATCAATTATAGAAATATTCAACCTTACACAGTGGTTAACAGATCAATCCATCCCAGTACTGAGCTAAGTTTTGACAAGTTACATTAAGACATTAAAATTTAAATAACCTTTACTCCAGATGGCTTGTGGGAGTAACTCATAATTCAGGAGGTTACCAAGCAGAGAACTACGTTTGAATTTAAACATTTTATTAAAAACGTTTTAGAGTATGTTTAGGTTTCAGTTTGTCTGGTTGTGTAGCACAGCCAGTTACCTGTTCCAAGGGAATTCCTAGCTCAGCTTTCAGCCGCCTCTGTGCTGCTCGCTTCACTCCAAGGGCGTCATTTTCCTCAAGCTCGCCTGGATTACTTAATGGATGACTACAACAAGTATTGGTAAAACAACCTGGAAAATGTTAATAGAGAGAGATCAACTTTTCTTCAAAGTAGGTCTGAAAGATCAGGATAGTTTATAAGTAGCAGAAAAATAAAATAATTTTTTTTTTGAGATGGAGTCTAGCTCTGTTGCCCGGGCTGGAGTGCAGTGGCATGACCTCCGGTTCCGGGTTCAAGTGATTCCCCTAGCTCGGCCTCTGGAGTAGCTGGGACTACAGGTGTGCACCACCACATCTGGCTAATTTTTTGTATTTTAGTAGAGGTGGGGTTTCACCATGTTGGCCAGGCTGGTCTCGAACTCCTTACCTTGTGATCTGCCTGCCTTGGCCTCCCAAAGTACTGGGATTACAGTCGTAAGCCACCTTACCCGGCCAAATAAAATGACTTTTAACAATTTTAAAATCAGGCCAGGTGCGGTGGCTCATGCCTGTAATCCCTGCACTTTGGGAGGCCAAGGCAGGCAGATCACAAGGTAAGGAGTTTGAGACCAGCCTGACCAACATGGTGAAACCCTGTCTCTACTAAAAATACAAAAATTAGCTGGGCATGGTGGCACGCGCCTGTAATCCCAGCTACTTGGGAGGCTGTGGCAGGAGAATTGCTTGCACCCAGGAGGCAGAGGTTGCAGTGAGCCGAGATGGCACCATTGCACTCTATCCTGGGTAACAGAGCAAGATTGCATCTCAAAAAAAAAAAAAAGGGATTCTAAAATCAGTTATAATGGGCTATCAGTCATTGTTTTGTGAGACAGACTTCACTTGTAGGTAAGTTCCTTATTAATGCTTCTTTAACCAGATTAACCAGAAAATACAGATTAAAGATAAAAAATATAAATATATACACATTGCTCAATTGCTCACTAGCTCTTATTCTTTATTGCTGTTTATTAGGTTGCACTCATAGTATAAACTTACTTTATGTAGAATATAAAATATGCCATTCACAGGATTTCCCTTTTTGACCTTGGTTCCAGAAATTCAGAATGATAAAAAGTCAAATTAATGTACAAACAAAATATTGTACACTAAGTGTACGAACCTGGAAAGGTAATCTTAGCATCTGATCTTTGCTGTAGCAGAAGCTTATTTTCAGTGTTGAATAAGAAGACACTAAAAGCTCGATGCAATAATCCTGAAAGCAAAAGAAATAATTAATTTAGCCTTAAGTATCAGCTATTCGCCCAATTCTCTCCTTGCAGTTCAGAATAACATTAGTAACTTGCTGTTGCTTTTGCTTTTTCACACAGTTTATCCGGATGCATAGTCCCTGCATGGCTATGGTGAGGAAGAGTGCTGCACTGGGCCAGGATGTTGGCCGTCAAGTGAAGGAAAGGGTGATGCTGGTGGCTCCTTTCCTGCAGTCAAGTTCCCTATTAAGGACATTCAATTCTCGGAAAGTGGCGAAGGCAGACGCTTCCCCGCACAGTGCCTGCCCCTCTCAATTCTTTAGAAAGATTAGAAGCTAGGCTGCTGCTGCATGTCAGGGTTGGTCTGCTTCTTCTTTTATGAATCCAGAATAAAACTCTGAAGAAGCCAAGTAAAAGGCATAATGTGAAGAGAAATCGCTGTAACAGGAACAGCAAAGAAGATGCTATGACTACACTATTTAACAAACTGGAACCAAAGAGAAGATACAGTATTATTAAAGACTGCACTGTCTTGAACAGAGTGCTGCTCTTAGCAAATCGGGTATGCCTACACAAATCGCTTTATAACAAAGAATATTTCAAAGCAATACCTTTGTCAATGTTCTCATTCAGGTGACAATTCTTCTTGGTCTCAGCCCCAATTTTATTGTCATTTTCATCAATAAGGATACACATCTCTGCCAGGAGTTGAACCTGTTGCTTGTCGAGGTGGTCAGTGTTTATTTCAGGCATCATTACAAAATGTCTGATCTGTCCTAGAACACTAATATTGAAAGAAAACAGAAAGTCCACCACATATTTTTCTGAATGTCAGAAAAATAATTACACAGCTTCCCCATCTGTAGCTGTACCACTCTGCATCCTCATGGGGCCCCAGGAACATTGCCAGCAGGCGGCACAGCGCTGTCTCAGTCATTATTGCTCCCACAGGCTTCATGGCTGGCCTTTTACCATAGCCGTGCTCCTAAATGCCAAGCTCAACATTCTAGTCTACATTCGAGATCCTCTGCAGCACTTGATCCTCAATCCTTTCTCCAGTGTACTTTTCTTCCCTGGTTTGGCCCCAACCTAACTTTCCATCCTGTTTTTCCACACCAGCTTCTGTCATCTCTATAATGTGCTCCCATCGCTATCCTGAATGGAATTCCCACTGCTTGTCTCTGCACAGTTTCTCAAGAATGCCACAGGCCAATCTTAGTCAAAATCCATTTTTTCAAGGCACAATTCATGTGTCACACATTCAGTAACCCTCCTACCAATGTCACAGTAAGATTTAATTCAGTTTTTCTCAACCCAAGCTCCTGAACAGAAAAATGATTTGCATGAGTTCTGTAAATTTCCCCCAGGGCAGTACTTAGCTAATACAATTCTAGTTAAACAGGAGAAAACTTAATTCATTATATTCAACACATGCTTTAAGGCAGTGCCTGGCAAGTTTTCCTCTATAAAGGGCCAGGTAGTATAAATTCTGTCTTGGTAACAATAAAACAGTCATAGGCAATGGGCGAACTGGGCAATATGTAAACTGAGTGTGGGTGCATGCCAGTATTTATGGACATTGAAATCTGAATTACATTTAATTTTCATGTGTCACAAAATATTTTAGTTTTTCCCCGGCCATTTAAAAATGAGAAAACCCCTCAGCTCATAGGATATAACAACAGGCAGCAGGCCAGATTTGGCCTGTGGGCCATAGTTGGCCCATCTCTACCTTAGTGCATCAAGCATTAATTTTCTGAGCCCCAATTAATCCCTCCCATGTGATTTAAACATAAAGCACTTACTAGAGTATTTCTGTATTGTGACTCACACATTTACACATCTATATCCAGCAGCTTCTAAGCTCTCTAACTTTTGTATCCTTCAGAGCACCTTTACATAGCACAACTTTGAAGTTTTTAATTTTCTCTATTTTCCTCCCCTTTATTTCTGAATGAATTATAATTTTTTTGTGTCTTGATTTTTCTACATAATATATTTTGAGGATCCCACGTGCTCTACTTTCTATGTGACTCTATTTCAAATATATAGATTTTACTGAAATACTTTTTTGTTTGAGATGGAGTCTTGTTGTCTCGCCCAGGCTGGAGTGCAATGGTGCAATCTCAGCTCACTACAACACCCACCTCCTGGGTTCAATTGATTCTCCTGCCTCAACCTCCTGAGTAGCTAGGACTACAGGCTTGCGCCACCATGCCTGGCTAATCTGTGTGTTTTTAGTAGAGATGAGGTTTCACCATGCTGGCCTGGTTGATCTCAATTCCTAACCTCAGGTGATCCACCTGCCTTGGCCTCCCAAAGTGTGGGTGTATAGGTGTGAGCCATCACGTCCGGCCTACTGAAATACTTTCAACAGAGTTCAAGCATACTGCAGAATGTACACAAAGTGTTTAAACAGCTACTTAATACAAAGTTCTAAACTCATATAGGATCTAGGGTGTGTGTGTACATATGCATGAGTCAGGAGTCAGTGATGATGGAGATATTGATATCTAATACAAAAAAATCTCAAATAAGGTTAATGATTATAACAAATCAAGAGAGATAGTAATGTGAAAAGGAAGTTCACTTCAGAGTTAGCCTCAATTAAAAAAAAATTTATTTCCAAAAAAAATTTTTTTTGAGATGTAGTTTTGCTCTTGTTGCCCAAGCTAGAGTGCAATAGTGCAATCTCAGCTCACTGCAACCTCCGCCTCCCAGGTTCAAGTGATTCTCCTGCCTCAGCCTCCCAAGTAGCTGGGATTACAGATGCCTGCCACCATGTCCAGCTAATTGTTTGTATTTTTAGTAGAGATGGGGTTTCACCATGTTGGGCAGGCTGGACTTGAATTCCTGACCTCAGGTGATCTGCCTGCCTCAGCCTCCAAAGTGCTGGGATTACAGGTGTGAACCACCACACCTGGCCTATTTCCAACTTCTATAGGCTAGTTTCATATACAGTCATCCTTTGGTATCTATGGGGGTTGGTTGCAGGATCTCCCACAGCTACCAAAATTTGAGGATGCTGAAGTTCCAGATATAAAATGGAATAGTATTTACGTATCACCTGTGTATATCCTATTGTATACAGACACGTTGTATGATGGTGTTTCTGTAAAGTACAGGACTGTATATACTACAGTGGTTCCATACAATTAGAACTGACAAATTCCTGTTGCCTAATGATGTTGTAACCATTGACACATCCTAGCACATCACCTTTTCTACATTTAGATACACAAATACTTGCTGCTGCGCTACAACTGCCCAGATTATTCTGCACAGTAACACACTGTCCAGGTTTAGGCCTGAAGCAACAGGAGCAATAGCCTACCAGCAACTGGATAGACCAGAAAGCCCAGCTGCACCACTGTCTAGTTCTGTGTCAGTGCACTCCGTTTCCACAATGGTGAAACTATCTATCAGTGAATTTTTCCAAAGTCTCTGTTACTGATACGGGCTGAACGTTACATTAACATCTGTAGATAATATCTAAAACATGTCAGTGTTACCTAAGTAGTTGTGCTGTATCGTTTACAGAAAAAGTCTGTATATATTCAGCACAGATAAAATTTTTTCCAAACATTTTATAACGTGCAGTTGGTCACATCCATGGATATGGACCCCAAAGATACAGTGGGCCAACTGCATATTAGGTGACCACTAAGACTTCGTTATTATTAATTACTAGACTTTTTTGACGTGAATTTTTTTTGCGGGGGGGATAGGGCCGGGTCTTGCTATGCCTGTCGCCCAGGCTGGAGTGCAGTGGCGTGATCTAGGCTCACAGCAGCCTCTGCCTCCACCTCCGGGGGTCAAGCGATCCTCCAGTCCCCGCATCCCAAAGGGCTGGGATTACAGGTGTGCACCACCGCCCCGCTGCAATGACAATTGCTTTCAGGATTTTCAGAATTCAGATTTTAAGACTAAACTTCTTAACCACAAGATAAAACGAATACGTCTTCTTAGGTGTTTAAAGAAAACGCCGTGTAGCAGACGCGGGAACACGTCACCCAACCCAAAAAAAGACCTGGTTCCATCCACGCGGGTTCCCCATCTCTTCTCCTGTTCCTTTCCCAAGAGCAGCGCCTTGGGTGTGTCCCCGTCACCCCCTCGCACAGACCCACGTGTACTCGGCACGGGGAGACCGGCGCCGTCAACGCTCCCGTTTCTGACGTTCTGAATTCTCTAAGAGGAAACTCGCAATTCGCAGTCTCCCGAGACTCGGTTTCCGATTCCACGCGTTGCTAAACCTCGGCTGACTGTGCGCACACAATGACAAAGAACGGCAACGTCCCGCCTTCCACAGGGAGCGGGCGCCCACCACAGCCCGGGACAGCTCGGCCTCGCTCCAGCTCCGGTGACCCATGCCGCCGCGCCGAGACCTCACGGGCGGCCCAGACCTCGGGCTTCCTCCCCGCCTCGCCCCGTCTCCCGAACCCTGCTGTCGGTCCCCAGTACCTGAGCGTCCTCCGGACACCGACAACCACGGACCCCCGAGCGCGCCAACTATGAGCGCTGTCCGCGGGGCGCACCGCCCACTGGCCCCACCCCCGGGCCACGCAGCCAATCGCCCTCGCCGGCGCCAGTCCGCGCCACATCGCCCGGCCAATCGGCGCCCCTACGCGCTTGACGTCACAATCTCGCCAGGCCGTCGCGCGGTGGCACCACCTCCCTGGCCTATGGCATCCGCAGACGAATGAAGCACCCAGAAGGTGAGCCGCGTGCTTGGGTCCTGGCCGCCCGTGAGGGAGTCCACGCGCCCCGCCCCGCTCCACAGAGGCAGCGTCCCGCGACTATACAGTGCCCGAAGCCACCTCAGTCGCCAGCCAATCAAACTTTCGATCCAGTCTGGCGAGCCGGAGGCGCTGTGAAGGGAGCGTGCCGACGGCAGGCGTCCTGACGCTCACGCTCCTTGGAGCTGGGCACTCCCAGGCGGAAATCGCTGGCGCGCTGAGCCCAGTACCCGGAAGCTCGGCGTCCCATGGGCGGGTCCCCTGCGTGGCTGGACCAATGGGAACGCAGGAAAGGCGGGCCATCATGCAGACGGGCTGGTTGTGCGTCCCCGTCCCGAGTTCCGCCGCTGGGAACAGACGCCGCCGCGTCTGTCTGCAGGGCTAGGCCCTGCAAGTCCGGAATGGTGGCCGTTCTGAAGCGTCTGCGACCAGGACGAAGGCGGAGCAGAGCCGCGGGAGGGTGGGCATTCCACGTTGTGTTGGGAGTGTTTGTCTTCCGGGTACCCGACAAGGCCGTTTCGCCCAGGCTGGAGTGCAGGGGTGCAGTCTCAGCTCACTGCAACCTTTGCTTCCGGGTTCAAGCGATTCTCCTGTTTCAGCGTCCGGAGTAGCTGGGACTTCTGGCATTCGCCACCACGCTGGGCTAATTTTGTAGTATTTTTATTTTTTTTTTGAGACGGAGTTTCGCTCTTGTTACCCAGGCTGGAGTGCAATGGCGCCATCTCGGCTCACCGCAACCTCCGCCTCCTGGGTTCAGGCAATTCTCCTGCCTCAGCCTCCTGAGTAGCTGGGACTACAGGCACGCGTCACCATGCCCAGCTAACGTTTTGTATTTTTAGTAGAGACGGGGTTTCACCATGTTGACCAGGATGGTCTCGATCTCTTGACCTCGTGATCCACCCGCCTCGGCCTCCCAAAGTGCTGGGATTACAGGCGTGAGCCACCGCGCCCGGCCAGTATTTTTATTTTTTTTTGAGACGGAGTCTCGCTCTGTCGCCCAGGCTGGAGAGCAGTAGTACGATCTCGGCTGACTGCAATCTCCGCCAAGGAAAAAAAAAATCACTAAGCTTCTAAAGACCAAACTATTCTAATATTAAACATTGTAATGTGAGCTATACATGCATTTAAGAAAGATTACTAAAAAGCAAGATAATTAATATTTACTAAAAAACAGGTAAGATAATTATTTACTTAATTATTCCCGTTCTGGGTCGTGTGTGTCTGAAGCCTATTCCAGCAGCTCAGGGCACAAAGAGGGAACCAGCCCTGGACAGGACGCCATTCCACCCTCGCCATTCCACCACAGGGCCACTCACACCCGCACACTCAGACCGGGACAGTGAAGACGCACCAGTTCACCTCACGTGCGCACCTTTTGCATGTGGCAAGAACTGCAGTACACAGAGAAAACCCATGCACGTGTGGGGAGAACACGTAAACAGCACACAGACAGCACCCCTCCAAGGGAGTCTTTTCTCCCCAATGTTAAAAAGAAACAAATGAGTACCTGTTGTATGCAGTTTGAAAATTGAGAAGTATTTTTCAATAGCCTTTTCAAATGATCTTGGTTATTCTTATTGATACCACTACACCAAAACACAAGTGGTGGATTTTCCAGTTACTATTTGGAATGGGAAACCAATGGACATTTGATACTCTTGTTACATTCAAATTCATTTATTTTTGACTGTACTTTGAATGCTTATTTTCCTATGCATGATGTTGCAATGTCATGTATTGGTCATTTGGAAAATAGTGATTTACTGAATTAAACAGATCTTCCAAATGCTAACACATTTCATTATTCAATATCAATCAATCACATTTGTTAATATCACGAGTAATCTCATCAGAAAAGTTTTTAAGTATTCGGAAGCTGCCAAGCTCTTAAAATTTGAATTTTTGCATGAAAATTCAAAATTTGTCAACAAGTACTGAGAATTATGCTCCTCGAAGTGGCATGAACATATTTTCATGAAAATGTCTGCCAAAAATCTAGGTTTGAATACCTGTTTATCTGTCAGTTATTTCCATTAAAAGTGGTATTTCATGAAAAAAGCAGCTAGCTAGTTCAGCTTACAACTCAAACATTCCCACAAGTTTTTTTACTGGAGGCAAAAATCATAATTCAGTATGTACCAGAAATGCTTTGTGTGTATTTCCCATTGCCATAGAGAATATTAAAAAGAGTTCTGAATGGTCGAGATTATTAAAATTAATTTTTTTTTCATTGCTAACAATCAGCTGAGCCTTCAGTGAGTCATAATCTTTTTGCTGACAGAGAGTTTTGCCTTGATGTTGATGGCTGTTGAACAAGTTGGTGCTTGAAAGTTGGGGTGGCTGTGCAGCTTCTTAAAATAAGACAATAATGAAATTTGTCACATTGATTGACTCGTCTTTTCATGAAAGGTTTCATTTAACCCAAAGGAAAACTTTCAAAATTTGAGTCAATCTTCTCAAACCCTGCTGCTGCTTCATAAACTATGTCTATGGAGCATTCTAAATCCTTTGTTGTCATTTCAACAGTGTTTACATCTTCACCAGGATTAGGTTCCATTTCAAGAAACTACTTTTCGTTGCTCATTCACAAGAAGCCACTGCTTATCCATTCAAGTTTTATTATGCTATTGCACTGATTCATTTACATCTTCAGGCAGCAATAGCCTTACAAAATGTATTTTTTAAATAATGAGACTTGAACATCAAAATGACTCCTTGATCCCTGGGCTGCAGAAAGGATGTTGTGTTAGCAGGAATGAAATCAACATGAATCTCCTTGTATATCTCCATCAGAGCTCTTGGGTGAACAGGAGCGCTGTAAATCAGCAGTAATATTTTAAAAGAATTTTTTTTTTTCCCCCTGAGCAGTAGGTCTCAACAGTGGGCTGAAAATATCAGCATAACTCTTTTTTTTTTTTTTTTCTTTTG